AGCAATATCTAACCACACAATCCTAGCAAGATCAAACCACACAATCTAACAATATCTAACCACACAATTCTAGCAAGATCTAACCACAAAATCTAGCAATATCTAACCACACAAACCTAGCAAGATCTAACCACACAATCTAGCAATATCTAACCATACAATCCTAGCAATATCTAACCACACAATCCTAGCAAGATCAAACCACACAATCTAACAATATCTAACCACACAATTCTAGCAAGATCTAACCACACAATCTAGCAATATCTAACCACACAAACCTAGCAAGATCTAACCACACAATCTAGCAATATATAACCACACAATCCTAGTAAGATCTAACCACACAATCCTAGCAATACCTAACCACACAATCCTAGCAATATCTAACCACACAATCTAACAATATTTAACCACACAATCCTAGCAAGATCTAACCACACAATCCTAACAATATCTAACCACACAATCCTAGCAATACCTAACCACACAATCCTAGCAATATCTAACCACACAATCTAGCAATATCTAACCACACAATCTAGCAAGATCTAACCACACAATCCTAGTAAGATCTAACCACACAATCCTAGCAATATCTAACCACACAATCTAGCAAGATCTAACCACACAATCGAACAATATTTAATTACACAATCCTAGCAATATCTAACCACACAATCCTAGTAAGATCTAACCACACAATCTAACAATATCTAACCACACAATCTAGCAAGATCTAACCAAACAATCTTGCAATATTTAACCACACAATCCTAGCAATATCTAACCACACAATCCTAGCAAGATCAAACCACACAATCTAACAATATCTAACCACACAATTCTAGCAAGATCTAACCACACAATCTAGCAATATCTAACCACACAAACCTAGCAAGATCTAACCACACAATCTAGCAATATCTAACCATACAATCCTAGCAATATCTAACCATATATTCTTAGCAAGATTAAATCCCACAATTCTCATCATACCGTGTTCCCCTAACATAACACGCACTGAACATCTAGAAATTTACAATATGTGCCCCTCTCTGTGAAACCCATGCCGAATGTTGACAACACAGCAATGTACTGACAAAATACTTATTCAACTCTAGCCTTGAAACCTTATACTGCTGACTAGATACACATCAATTGCAATACAGAAGTCTTTAATACATAGGTCTTTAATACAGACGTCTTTAATACAGAAGTCTTTAATACAGAAGTCTTTAATACATAAGTCTTTAATACAGAAGTCTTTAATACAGAAGTCTTTAAAAGAGGCGAAACTGGGCTGGAAATGGATATGGTAAGGACATATGATAGGCGTTTAAAGTTTTTGGGTTAGTACTATATCACCCAGGCTATCAACATTAACTTAGTTAAAGAAATTTAAATATAAAATTACTGCACACCATATAGAATGACAGAGAAATAGTTCCTGGGCTCAGTGAGGTAATTAATTAATTAACGGTTGACTAAACTAAGCAGGGAGGATAATGGGGGAAACTAAATATAAATCTGGAATGAGAAAAAAAAATTCTCGGTTTGTTTTTCCAAGTGTTGAAATTTATAGCTGTCCTAATTTTAATTATGTGCACCACAAAATAGGGTGCTGCTTACTAGGAGAAATCTACATTCACAATGCGAACTACGACTTCTTAAGTACTGAACTTTACAGCAGGATATATATATATATATATATATATATATATATATATATATATATATATATATATATATATATCAGGGGCGTAGCGAGGGGGGGGGGGGGGCGGGGGGTGCGGACCGCACCGGGTGACACCATTTAGGGGGGTGACACGAAGGCAAAAAATAGCAAAATATATAGAGAAAAACTTGAGGGGGGGGGGGGTGCAAATCGAAAGCTTGAGGTGGGGGGGGGGGGGTGGTGCAAATCGAAAACTTGAAAGTTTGTCCCCGGGAAGGGTCGCTACGCCTCTGGGGGGTGACACCATTAAGTGCCGCACCGGGTGACACCTGACCTCTCTACGCCACTGATATATATATATATATATATATATATATATATATATATATTTATTTATTTATTTATATATATATATATGGTCACTTTTAGCCACTATATCACCTTTTGAATACCCACTCAATTGTTATTGACTCACAACTGTTCTAGTGAGTTGTGGTGCGGATAAGCTAGAAATAAGCAGGTCGTGTTTCTAGTACTAGCTCATGCCTTCTAAGGGAAGATCGATTGCTAGTTAGGGAATTGTTCTGTGTGTAATGTTGCATTTGTGCACTGTTGTGTGTTGGTGATGGGACAGGTTGGTGTCAGTTGCATCACCAAATTGCAGAAATATGTGACTAGGTTGCTGTATCTCACACGTCAATTAGGTCATTTGTAGACACACTGAGACACATACCACTACATAATAAGACATCACCAAACGTAGACACATGACATAATAGTGTAGACACTCTACAATCGAGACACTTGACACCATAGTGTAGACACCCTACAATCTAGACACTTGACACCATAGTGTAGACACCCTACAATCTAGACACTTGACACCATAGTGTAGACACACTACAATCTAGACACATGACACCATAGTGTAGACACCCTACAATCTAGACACATGACACCATAGTGTAGACACACTACAATCTAGACACATGACACCATAGTGTAGACACATTACAATCTAGACACTTGACACCATAGTGTGGACACGCTACAATCTAGACACATGACACCATAGTGTAGACACCCCACAATATTGACACATGACACCATAGTGTAGACACCCCACAATATTGACACATGACACCATAGTGTAGACACCCCACAATATTGACACATGACACCATAGTGTAGACACTCCACAATATTGACACATGACACCATAGTGTAGACACCCCACAATATTGACACATGACACCATAGTGTAGACACCCCACAATATTGACACATGACACCATAGTGTAGACACCCCACATTAACACATGACACCATAGTGTAGACACCCTACAATCTAGACACATGACACCATAGTGTAGACACCCTACAATCTAGACACATGACACCATAGTGTAGACACCCAACAATCTAGACACATGACACCATAGTGTAGACACCATACAATCTAGACACATGACACCATAGTGTAGGCACCCTACAATCTAGACACATGACACCCTAGTGTAGACACCCTACAATCAAGACACTTGACACCATTGTGTAGACACCCTACAATCTAGACACATGACACCATAGTGTAGACACCCTACAATCTAGACACATGACACCATAGTGTAGACACCCTACAATCTAGACACATGACACCATAGTGTAGACACCCCAAATATTGACACCTGACACCATAGTGTAGACACCCTACAATCTAGACACATGACACCATAGTGTAGACACCCTACAATCTAGACACATGACACCATAGTGTAGACACCCTACAATCTAGACACATGACACCATAGTGTAGACACACTACAATCTAGACACATGACACCATAGTGTAGACACCCTACAATCTAGACACATGACACCATAGTATAGACATCCTACAATCTAGACACATGACGTTATACAGTATCAGTTTCCAAACTGGTAGTCGCTTCACCGGAACGCAGACTAATGCCATAAGAACTTAACTTAAAATATAATTGTTATTTGATCTAATTTTAATTTAATAATACTAATTTCAATGTCTTTAAAAATTTTAAAATAAGTCTAGACATTGAGCAATTTAGAACATTTTTACTTTAACTATTAAAGTGTGTTACTTCCCATTTTAACATTAAAAACAACCAAGGGACACAACTTATTAATGTGTTCTCAAAAGTATTTTAAAATAAACCGAAATTAAAAAGCAGCAAAATATGACAGTAGAATACCATCTTCCGATACGCAGAGTGTGAAATTTTTTAATTGTATCCCAATGATAATCTAATCTTTTTACACTGTTATTTTCTAAGTTATTATTTTTATCTACTTTTATATGAAAACCATTAGCTGTATGGCTGTATTGAATACATTATCTTAAAGCAAATATTAGATTATTTTACTATTATGGGTGGTCAGTAACTCAGCGATTTGTTAAGAAACATTATTTTGTTCTTGATTAGATTAGAAAAAAATTCATAAAAAACGTTTTAATAACAAGCTTTTATGTAATAATGCACTAAAAAGTAGAAAATAAATTAAAGACTACTATTTAAATTACTATAAAGAAAAGCGTGGGTCACTTTAGTACCGATTGGATACCTTTACTAATATTTGAGAAGAGACCCACGCTTTTCTTTATAGTAATTTAAATAGTAGTCTATAATTTATTTTCTACTTTTTAGTGCATTATTACATAAAAGCTTGTTATTAAAACGTTTTTTATGAAAAAAAATTTCAGTACTTTACATGTTTTATTTACAATAGAGTTACATGACTAAAAACCATTGCGCGCCTACTGAACGTGATGGCGCAGCTATTGAACGTACCGTGATGGCGCAGCTATTAAACGTGATGACGCGTGTGATGTGGTTGGCTATACATGCCTTCTAATTCGGTCCAAATTTTAATTTATTCATAAAAAATTAATTAGGCATCCAATTAAGACAAATTTAATTTCAGATTGCATTGTCTTCATGTCTTGACCCACGTGTCAAATGTGAATCGTATCGGTCAAGTAGAAGTTTCCGAATTTTCACTCCTGCGTTTCGATCTAGACTGACGACAGAGCGACGACAGAGTAAGTGAGTTAAATAAAAGCTCGTAAAAAAAAAAAAAAAAAAAAAAAAAAACTAAAATTGTACCCGTAGGAATACGATAATCTAGACTACTAGAGTAGAGATCTAGACTAGATCATCTAGATCTACACAAATGTGAAATATAAAATCAGAAATAGATCTGGCAATCTAGAATCTAGATCCAGTCCAGATACTAGAGTCTAGTACAGACCACTTGATATCTAGATTAGATCTACGCAATTTTTACTCAGATTATCTACAATTCTGTGGCACATTTGATTTCAAATGATGAAACAAATAAAAAGACTTTTTGTCACGGTGGGAACCACACAGTTTGATTCACTGATCAAAGAGGTTACATCTGTTCCTGTTTTGGATGTGTTAGCAAAACTTGGCTTCACTCATGTAAATTTGCAAATAGGAAGAGGAACATATGAGCCAACGGAAATTGCAGAAACAAATATTACACCATGTATAACCTACTATCGGTTCAAAGATTCCCTTGTTGATGACATTGCTGAAGCAGACCTTGTTATTTGCCATGCTGGTGCTGGAAGCATCATGGATTCTCTAGGGGCCAAGAAACATGTCTTAGTTGTGATAAATGAAGAGCTTATGGGAAATCACCAATCTGAGCTTGCTGCCAAATTGGCTAAAGATAATTATCTTTATTATTGCAGTGTTCCTTTACTATACAAATCTTTACCATCATATGACTTCAATTTACTTCAACTATTTCCACCTGGAGAACCACATAAATTTGCTGATTTTCTAGACAAAACTCTAGGTTTTGTCTAAAATAATATAAGTATGAATTTTTCTTGTTACCCGTAGAAGTTAGTTTAAAGTAAGCTTTATTTTTGCGGTCATCTGTCCAATTGCAAATGTAAAAATCTAATTTGAATTAATAACTTTTTCAATTGATTTATATAAATCATTAAAGATTATTTGTGCTGTATGGCTGGTGTTACCATTACAAAATAAAGCTAGTTTCCACCAAGTAAAAAAAAAAAAATTGTTCTTGATTGTTAACAGCACTAGCAAGTGCTGGCTGAGCTCAGTGCCAAATGACTAGAACATTTTCCTCATACAGCTCACCTGAATAGGGTCAGAGCTAATTACTTTCTTTCAACATTTGCATGCAAACAAGTAGGTTTAGTGTTAAGATCTGGGTGGAATAGTTTCATTATGACATCTGCAACTTTTGTGCATGGTCCATATCTGATTCACTTTGTATGTATTATATACTGTACTGTAAGTTATTTTATTTGTATTTACCATAAAGCACCAATGAGATGAAAAATATAATAAATTTTGTACTTCATTAACGCCAATATTATAATATTGTCAAAGATAAACGTCTATTACAAAGGAAAATTGGGTAGCAACGACGGAACATGGACGTACCCGCGCAACTATGTCTCTCTTCCTCTATTTCTCTCTCTCTCTCTCTCTGTTATAGACAGGCACAAGCACACACACACATCCGTGCACACACACGCACACACACATGCACACAAACACGGACACCCACAAATGCTTGCAGCCACACCTTTACAAGCGATTCTATTTTGACCCCACCAAATAGACATCTGAAATATAGACATCTGAAAAATAGACATCTGAAAAATTGACATCTGAAAAATTGACATCTGAAAAATTGACATCTGAAAAATAGACATCTGAAAAATAGACATCTGAAAAATAGACATCTGAAAAAATAGACATCTGAAAAATACACATCTGAAAAATAGACATCTGAAAAATAGACATCTGAAAAATAGACAACTTAAAAAATAGACAACTCAAAAACAGACAACTCACAAATACCTGTCAGACACCTTACAATGCCACCACACAGCTTTTGTATGGTGTCATCTGTCTAGATACCATACAATGTACACACACAAGTATTAACACATTGAAAACAGGACACTCCTTTTTGTAAAATAACCGAACATTTAAATTTAAATGAATTGTTCATTTTTTTAAAAACGATATTATATAGCTTTATAGCTTTATTTTATTATAACTTGCACTTAACATAAAAAAAAGCGGCACTTAAATTATGATTTTGATTCTTGATGGGCTTTAAATGTTAAAAAAAAGTCGTAAAAATGTCAGGCTTGTAGCAAAAAAAAAAAGAATAAAAAACTCGATAAATTAGATTTGAATTGTCTAGTGTCAGTGACACGTAAACAAAGGATTGCGTTGATTCATGGGTTTAACTAACACGATCAACCTATAGTTCGATCAGGTTTTATTGATTTTTAAATGGTGGAGTAAAACGCCCACAATAAAATTAAAACTATTTTTTCATTGAGTTAGTAAATTGTGTTTTTTTTAGATGAATAAAAACATTAGTAAACAAAATAACAAACAGAAATAGGAATCTTACTCTATCCTTTTGGACATATGTAATTAAGATGGTTTTTAGATTTTAAGAATGGGAGCCCGCTTGTTCATTAAAGAAAAAACAAACAAATAATCCCTTACACCAGCACACTCTTCCCCCACCCCCACCCTATGCCCCGGGAGATACCCTCCGCCTATTGTGACATTCACCATATTCAAGGACTTAGCTCTTGAAATCAACCCAACCCTCGACGTAAAGGCTAAGAAAAAAAAACAGTGGACACTTCGGTGTGCCATATCCGCATCGTATTTTTATGTTGACATTCCAGAAAGATTTTGTGTAGAGAGTATGAAGGTTATTTTTATTGCCCCGCGCTATTGTCAGTGTCGTGGTGGTGGAGAGTGGCGCGGGGGAATGTCAACAATGCGGTGTGCTTTAGAATTGTTTTAGTTTAGAAGAGGGGCCGGAGGGTGGGGTGGGGGGGGGGGTATTTTAAAGACCGACTTTCTAGTGTCGCCATTTGACGTGTTTAGAGAGCCCGTATAGGCTTTAATACATATACTCGGGACACAGGTAGTGGTAATTATAGTATTATTGTAGGTGGCGGGGTAGTCAGACAACTTGACATGTCCGGTTTAATCTATTATTAGCCGGGTTATAATTCCCGATGTCGAGAGTTGGTCAATACGCGTGAAGTGACCTCAGGTTACTTTGTTGATGGTGGGCTCGTCGCCATGGTAACAGGTGGGCCGAAACTAAACTGTTTACCTGTCTTACCTGACTCTCCGAAAAACATGACACGTGTTTTGTCAGCAGAAGATATTCAGTGGTGATGTCCGCAGGTGTGTCAGCTGTTGTGTTGTGGTGTGACAGACGGGGTAGGGGGGGGAGACAGACAGACCATTTTTAGCCGTCTAGGCCTAATAAAAAAAATCATGCCTACGCAAGAGAATTGCTATTAGCATAAAATAAAGTATAATCAAATATTATAACTTTATTACAGATCTCTAATGCAACTTTCAGTGTGTTTTCCGAGGTATTTTCTCCAGTTATTTTATCTACTGGCTCAGTTTGTCGGAAGAAATAACCGACGAAATCTTAAAGGTATCCATGTAAATAGCAACACCTTACCTGTTTTGTTTTTTATGGTTACACCCATTTGCGTTGAGTAGATGGGGGGGGGGGGGGGTGTACTGTCCAGTGTTAAGGTCAATTGCCTTTCTACATGGTCAGGCTGGTAGGTGTCGCAGTTGGGTGTCGACTGATAACGAGATGTGTCCAAGTGTTTAGCGAGATGGTTGAGTCAGGTGCTCCCCGTCGGTGTTTCTTCCAGACTTTTTTCTCCGGGGGGTGAGGAGGGGGGTGCACATGAAATTTTGAGAGGGGGGGGGGTAGATTTACTTCTGGGGGGGGGGGGGAGCGGAGCGCTACCGTAGAGATGCGTGGAAGAAACTCTACTCCCCGTAAGTTAGTCAATCAACCAAAACCCTAACTCACACACCATCCTAAGAATGCCGTGTGTTTTAGTTTAACTGACTGAGGTCCTTACCTTCAACAAGTGTAACAGTTACAGTTAGTGTCAAGGAAACGGTCAGTTTAAAAATTCAACTATTCAACTGTATCAAATCCGGGTGACAATAAAAAAAAATAGGAACAATTTGACGTAAATAACGAAACAAAACCCACTAAAACACCTCATAAACACCACGACTAATGATAACATGCGACCTAAACCAACCATTAACTAAAACATGAACCCTACATCAAAGCTAATCCCATACTGTTAATCTTTGTTTACTTAAGAAAAAGCTTTGAAAAAACCCCGAGACCGCTGGTGAAAACCTACCCCCGTCCTTTGACCACTTTAATAACAGTACTTTGTGTGTGTTCGTGCGCCTCTTGCATGTCTTAGCTTGTCCCCTCCCTTTCTTTCTTTCTACTCTAGCGCTGACATAATACTTTTACTATTATTATTATTACTATTATTATTATTATTATCAGAGGCGAAGCGAAGGGGGGGGGGGTGACACCAAGGCAAAAAATAGCAAAATATATAGAGAAAAATTTGAGGGGGGGGGGGGGGTTGCAAATCGAACGTTTGAGGGGGGTGCAAATCGAAGGTTTGAGGGGGGGGGGGTGCAAATCGAAAATTTAAAATTTGAAATGGTCGCTACGCCTCTGGGTGGTGACACCATTAAGTGCCGCACAGGGTGACACCCGACCTCGCTACGCCTCTGATTTTATTATTATTTAGTAAGAACGCAAAAATATTATTATTTGGTAAAACGCGAAAAAACCTGTACTTTTCCATATGACGTCAATGCCAATACGCCTCTTGAAAGCCAAATCGTAGGAGGACCTCTCAGACGACAGCAATTGCCTGCTCATGTATGAGAACACGACAATAACCAATGCGCGTGCATACACAGTGCTCACACACACCTTACACTTCCTGTTGATGTTGAGTTAATGTTGATGTTTTAGCTGAGACCAACGATGGAGATTGTTTTAGTCTAACACGTTTAGTTCAGTTATTTTTTTATTATTGAGTAACATGTCAATTTAAGCTGGAAAATATGAAAACTTGTAAAAAAAAATAGACCGTTACTGACGTCATAAGTGACGCGTTTAGCACACGGAGAACACAAAAGACGTGGTATCAGTAACAAACACAGCACATATTAAAATACAAACCATACAATATATTTAGCACAAGTAGCAAACATTGCATGAGTAGAAAGTTAACCAGTGGCGTCGCTAGGTCGAGTGTCACCTGGTGGGGCAACTCATGATGTCGACCCCCCCCTCCCCCCAACCCATTTTGTAGGAATCTTCATTTTTACTGAAAAAACTTTTTAACTTTAATTAATCATTCACTGAACTGGCATAAAGCATTTTATTTATATTTTACAATGGTGTCACCGGTGCGGTGCGCACCCCCGCCTCGCGACGCCTCTGACTTTACCACATGTAGCACAATATTACATAAAGCATGAGCATGTAGCACATTTTAGCAAGAGTACAATGCTTGGCATATGAGATACATCGAGCACATAAGGCATGCTTAACACATGAAGCTCATGTGAGACATATAGCACAATTAGCATGTGTATCACTTGATGCACAAAGCATAGGATCACACATTACAGTTCGCAAGTATAGGATGTGCAACAAATGCATAAAACAGCTTCATTTACGCGTGCAGAGTGTAAATTTAAAAATAACTAAAAACGTTCAAAATCTTTTTAATGCTCTCGCTCAAATAAAACTTTATTCAAGTTGTGTCAAATATTTATTTTTTAAGTAAAAAAAAAACAAACGAGCATATTACTTTCAAACAAGACATACACAAAAGACCAATTATTTTTCTCAGTCACAATATTATGTCAATACAGTTACAAGAACAAGATATATTAATCTAGAATATTTTTCATACACAATAACATTTACCAAATCCACAGTTTTCAATAATAAATAATGTATTTAGTTCTATGAAAATATCATTCTATTTTGAATCGGTCACTTCTTTAACTTTAACCGG